ACCTAAAGCCAGACCCAAACAACAGATTTTTATTTTTATTAAACGCACATGACTCAAAACATTCTTTCTCAAACAAATGGTTCTGAAATCAAAACCAAAACAATAGTTTACACAAAAGAATTTTGTAATGAATCAATGTTCAGCATACAAAAGTCTGTAATTTGCTCAATATCATATCTGAATTATAAAGGAAAACATATCTCAGGGTATAATTTGTCAACACGTGCTAGACTGAATCTTACAGTAGACAGCTTCAGGATTTTAGAATTCAGAATGTGTGTTTAAGAAAAGGAAAAAAACGTATATTACAATCACAAGATTCTGTGATTCTGTCTTGCTCTTGTCTCTGTAAAAACTACATACCTCAGAATACTTCTTCTAATTAATTCAAAGCCATTAACATTCTCAAAATGACGGATATCTGTATGCATAGGTTGTATGTTAGTTCTAATAGGTCTAGAGAATGATGGATGCATGATGGTAAAACCTGTAAGGAAAGGAAGTATGGTTAATGTCTGACATTGAAGCACCAATGACTCCATTTGACGATAAATCATGCTATTTACAAGTAAATCAGAGTATAATTTTATGGTTGAAATTCAGTAAGTTTATCTAAGATCATTTATTCAAGTCATTGTAAGATCATGATTCAAAGTTAATCCAAGATCATGATTCAAAGTTAATCTAAGATCATTTATTCAAAGTCATTCTAAGATCATGATTCAAAGTTATTGTAAGTTCATTGTTCAAAATTAATCCAAGTTCATGATTCAAAGTCATTCTAAGATCATGATTCAAAGTTGATTCAAAGTTATTGTAAGATCATGATTCAAATTTAGTCTAAGAGCATTTTTCAAAGTTATTCTAAGATTGTGATTCAAAGTTATTGTAAGATCATGATTTAAAGTAAATCCAAGATCATGATTTAAAGTAAATCCAAGATCATGATTCAAAGAAATTGTAAGATCATGATTCAAAGAAATTGTAAGATCAAGATTCAAAGTAAATCTACTATTGTTAGTCAAAGTTAATCCAAGATCGTGCTTCAAAGTTAACCTAAGATCATTTATTCAAAGTCATTCTAAGATCATGATTCAAAGTTATTGTAAGTTCATGGTTCAAAATTAATCCAAGTTCATGATTCAAAGTCATTCTAAGATCATGATTCAAAGTTGATTCAAAGTTATTGTAAGATCATGATTCAAATTTAGTCTAAGAGCATTTTTCAAAGTTATTCTAAGATTGTGATTCAAAGTTATTGTAAGATCATGATTTAAAGTAAATCCAAGATCATGATTTAAAGTAAATCCAAGATCATGATTCAAAGAAATTGTAAGATCATGATTCAAAGAAATTGTAAGATCAAGATTCAAAGTAAATCTACTATCGTTAGTCAAAGTTAATCCAAGATCGTGCTTCAAAGTTATTCTAAGATCACGATTCAATGGTTCTCCAAGATCACAATTCAAAGTTATTGCAAAATCATGATTGCAATGTGTAAAAAGTTATACGTACCATCAACAG